AGAGAATGCATTTCAACGTGCTATAAAGTGCAAACTGTAATACAAAAATGGATGACAGTCAGTGAATCACATGTGCACATATACTACAAAACATAAAATACAGTGAATAAAAGGTAAAAATAGATTCATTTCTCAAATTTGTTTACATTTTACATACCAATACATGGAATAAATAACAAAACAACATAACTAAACAAACTTATTCATATTATCAAATCCTATTTATTTACAAGGTAATTCCCACTATCATTATGGGGCAAACTGCAGCTACAAACTCTTTTTAGAACTTGATGCCTGAATCTATTTCATTAAAAATCACCACAATGTTCTGGGAATCGGCTGCATAACTTGCTAATTAACCTTGTACCTCCTCAAGCACCATACCCCTCCCTTCAAAACAAATTTTTGTTCAAAATCCATATAAGCAATATCATCCCTTCTCTGTGGCCCTAGAAATTATTTAGAAATTGACATTAAGAAAAAGGAAGTTAACGAAGGTCAGAGATGTAAAGCGAAGTTTAATGAATTAAAATAAAGTATTTAAAGCAAAAAAAAGAGAGAAGGAAGATGACACTAACAATGTTTAATATACACTTCAATCAAATTAATAGAATCTTACACATAGTGATTCATGAATAAACTGAAAAATGATAACCATAACTTTTAGTATAAAACTGGAGTTCATACACGAATACCTGATTACATGGCGTTCGATGACTGTGATCGAAAGAGATTAACCGGAAGCTTTGATATTACTCGAAGAGAAGCAAAGAAAAGAAGAGTAGGCGGTGAAAATCGCAGAGATGGAAGGGATTTAGGAGAGTAGGCGGTTATGGAATTGAACGTGATGTTTTCCAATATTAGATTTAGGTCTAATGACTAAGATACCCTCATGTGTAATTAGTTTGTTGTCTTCAAATCTGTAACCGAACAGTGATCTTAATTAGATGGAGGGTTAGGATTAGTTTGTAGGTTAGTAAATTAAGCTTAGTTTGTATTTGATCTCTGAATTTATGATTTATTGTATACACACATATGTATGTTGAATTATTTTTGTAGTATAATTTAAGAAAAAGTATGTATATACCTATATATTGAGCGGGTCAGGGCGGCACGGGTCAATACTAATACCCGGACCCACCTCATTGTATAGGCGGGGTGGGGCGGCCCCATTTGCAAGACGGAGCGGGCCAGACCCGTCCCAAATGTTTCGGACCAAGGCGAGTCATTGAGGTTTGTGCAGATGAGAGAAATATGAGCGAAACCACAAATTAGTTACTTTAAAACGAAAATGACAAAGTTTTTTGGGACAAGAGAAAATGGAAAGTTGACAAAATCCAATAGGACGGAAAGACTATATTTTTGTATCCTCTCTGTAAAATCACAATACTAAAATTTTATTTTTGTAAATTGCAGGATCGATATCAAGAGCAAAATTTTCCAAAATAGGAATACAAAGAATGTGATATTTTAAATGGGAGCGCTGTATTTTTCTGGTAGTTAGAAGTAAATTGGTGTAACATTATTTCAGTTTTAATGATATAGTTGATAGAAATTTTCAAACATCTTAATTAGCCTTATTTAAAGAAAGAACATAATATTCTTATTTTTGAATATTATTGGTAGGAAACAACTTAGAGAGAAAAGGTAAAGCAATTGAGTATGGTTAAAATGACGTAAGATTGCAAGAGTGACGGTGACTTATTTATAAGTATTTACAACACGTTCACTAACTACGTGTTGTTTCAACTTGGCCCAATTTATGAATCAATATTCAATACTAGTGTTAGTTTAATGTCCCCGAACCGATTTTCGCTAGTTGAACTGTGTTCAGAGCTTAATCAGGATCGAGTATAACGGGCCACCAGTTTGACCCTACCATCTTTATTTCAACAAATTTTATACGTAGTATTGATTTAGTTCTCATTTAAAGCATTTTCGTTGCATAATTGTATGAGAATTGTCATCAACTCATCATCAGGGATAACAATGGGTGAATTGGAAAGTGGTGATCTAGGCGGTCCGGTCCCTCAAACATCGAAGTGATTATATTCCTAAAAGTCAAATCCAAATTCTGTTGAGAAGTATTTTTTTAATAAACTTTTCAATTGTTCTAATTGCTATAACGTTGGTGACAAAGTTACCCGCATAATCCATGATACTAGACAACTAGTGTGGGGATGATATGTCTTTGAAAGGAGGCAAAAACTTAAATCTCTCGTGGCGTTTGCACAAATATACCAACCATTGGTTGATTTGAATGAAAAGTATACAATCATCATGACACTAATATAGATGCATTTCAAGTCTCTTTTGTAACACTCAAATTAGCTAAATCGGGGATTCTGTTATGAACTTCTGACTCAATTGACTGATTTTGCTGAATTATGAAAACATTATATTTAAAATATATTTTGTTTATAAAATAAAATAAGAATATATGAAAATAGATAAAATGGTTCTCTAAAGTAGTTTCAGTCAATTTAGGTAGAAAAATAACTTCAACTCTACTTAGGGGGTGTTTGGAATCGATTCTGCTTCTGCTTTATAAGCAGAATCAGTTTTCAAAAGCTGGTCTCCCCCAACTTCTATAAAAACCGATTCTAGGAGTAAATTATAACACCGGAAGTACTTCTGCACTTTCATTCAAACACTCCAACTTCTGCTTCTGCTCCCTGAAGAAGCTGAAACAGTTTTAAGATTCAAATCCAAACACCCCATATACGGAGTAGCACTTTTGGATTGGGTATTGTAATTTTTCATCTGTAAAATATATATACTCCAAATGTTGTTTTGTTTTGGCTCTTCATAGCCTTTTGAGTTTTGAGGCGTAATAGTGGAATTAGCTATGCAAAGCTAACCCCTTGCACTTAATAATGGAAATCTACGAACAAAACTCGAGCCCATCCCAAATTGTAATCAAACATGTTTTTCTTGTACCGTTTATAGCTGCACTTTTGTTTTTTATTTTAATTAAATTTAAAAGTTTCTTAAAACGAAAATAACATCAAAGTGTTGAATTTAAATTTAATCTGTGTGCGTGAGTGATTAGTATTTTGATATGTATGTGTTGTAACTTGTAAGAGCCAAATACAAAGGATTGGAGTTCCTTCTTTCCTACTATTTCTTTTAACCATCAAATCTTCATATACTCATCCAAACATCTTCCAAAAGTTGTGGGTTTGCTTCTAGGTTGAGCTTATTTACCTCAACACACACATCATTGAATTGCACAATCTCAATTCAAATATGCTAAAATCTATCACATTAAATGAGATAACGAAAACTTAACTATATAAATAATATATCAAGTTTTATATAGGCATGGACCGGGCCCGGGCCGGGTCAGGCTCCGGGCCGGTTCAAGCCGGACTTTTGTTTAGGATGTTGGGTCTGGAACCAGCCCGGGTCGATACCGGGTCCGGGCCAAGCCGGGCCCGGTTCAATGTAATTTTTTTTGGCTTTCTAATTAATCCCTGGCCCCCTCACCCCCACCCCCAAACCCCCCAAAACGCCCAGCCCTACCCAAGGAAAAGGAACAAAATTGAAAAAAATGGATCGGGCCCGGCCCGAACCGCCCGGACCGGTTCATGAAATATAGGGCCCGATCCCGACCCGTCCAAACCGCCCAAACCGTGTTAAATCCCGGAACCGCCACTCCCCAACCGGTCCGGTCTGGGCCCGAATAGTACCGAACCGGGCCGGGTCCTAGGCCGGTTCAGCCCGGTTGAGTCCACCCCTAGTTTTATATTGGGACCACTAAAATAAGAACTACACAAATGAAAGACAAAAGTGATTCATGAGATGAAACATGAGAAATTTTAGTGAGTCATATATAACTATACTATTCAGTATAGAGTCATATATACTATACAATATACATGAGCGTAGTTACGAGACCAACCTAGGTCCCGACCCACCCCCGCTTAATATTTTTTTTATATTGACTCATCCCAATATACCGCTCTGCTTGTCTGCGGGATGGTATGCGTGGTCTCGACTCACCCCCACTTAATTTTTTATACTGACTCATCCCAATATACCGCTCTACTTGCCAGCGGGATGGTATGCGTGATCTCATCAGTATCATCCTAAGGTCACACGTATATTATAATAGTGTAGCTGAAGTATTTATGGTGATAATATTGAATCTAGTAATAGAATGGGCGTAGTTGGGGGCCAACCTAGGTCCAGACTCATCCCATTTTTAATCTTGTTTAAACTTTGAGGTAAAAAAATTGTGTAAAAAGTTTCAAAAAATCTTTGTATCCACCTATCCCAATATACCGTGTCTCCGCCATTGTATACACGATCTCATTGATACCATCCTAAGGTCACGCGTACATGATAATAATAGTGTAGCTGAAGGACTTAAGGAGATGAAAAAATCATTTATAATTTCTTTTAAGGTTGTTATAAAAATGGGGTGGGCCAGGACTTGAGTTGGCCCTCTCGATTCATACACAAGCCCTTAAATGTTTTGGGCTAAACACTGGTGCAAAACAGGGGATGGTTGCGGGAAGTTGCAATAAATTCGGGTGTTGACTTGTTGTCTAGGAATCAACACGGCATGAAAACATTGCACTTTTTCCGGAGGCGTTTCCTCTGAGACCGCCGCGTACAGTTGGTCATGAACTCGGTCACAATCTTCGAATTTTCCTCGTCAATGGAAAATTCAAGAATCAAGATTACTGTGCATAAAAGGGCCAAAAAAGAAAAAAAATTACAGTTCATTTTCCCAAGAAAATGGCCACCCAGAAATGGAGTCGTCTATGGTAACAATGAGCTGTAAGAAAAAGTCCCACTTGCAGAGAGAGTAGTGAGACTGAGAGACAGCTATTCGTACCTCTCAGACTCCTCCATTGACTGAGACATCTCAATCCTCTTTCTCTTTTTAAAATAATAAATTCCCAGAGACAGTAAATAGTGAGCTGTAATTGAAATCCTTCGTTTTATACCCCCACTCACCCGCTTCTCTCTTCTTTAGGATAAAAGATCGAAAAAGACAGCACGGGCAATTCCCGGATATCATAGAATATTTGGGGCTAGATCGCGAAAACCCCATCTTACCAAATCCATTATCGATTGGTCCTTTCAATGTCAACGGGGAAGGGTCGACACAGAAAAAAGCAGAAGAGCCGGCGGGGTTGAGGCAGTAAATAGTTTTCGTTTGTGGGATTTTTTGTTTAGTTTTTCTGTTGTTGCAATTCGCGCTTCTCAGATCGCGAGATTTACGTACCCATCGAAGTCTATTCTCCGCAGTTTTTGTTTAGGTATGTATAAGATAATTACTCATCTCTTATTTGTGCATTGATTTCGATTAGTTCGCCAAGGAATTGCAGCTTAAAACTGGGAGAAACGGCTTTGGTGATTACTTGTGAATTCTGTAGAAGTAGAATGCATATACTTAAAATGTATACTACGTATATGATTTAAGCTTTGGGCAAGATTCAAAATTTGAATTCGCATAGTCATCTATATAAATGCAAGATATGAAATTTAGGATTTGAAGTATCAGGGGAACAAGCTGTATTGAGCTCTTGAGTAGTACTTTTGAATGAAATCCGCAATAGACTCTTGAGTAGCCCTTGCTGTAGGAACATAGTTTCTTGTTTCATTATTTTAATTATTTTTTATGTTTAAGGATCTCAATTTAATGCTTTTTACAGTGTTTTTATGCTTTTTACAGTGTTTAATGGAGATATTCCCCCCATCTGTAGTTTTTTGCTCATTTTTTGTTTTGGTTGTGTTGCAGGAATTGGTTGTTGTGTGTGTTTACTATATGGCGAACTCAAAGGGGGGATCTTCTAGTAGCATAAGAAATGCAATGTACAATGGCAAGAACTCTCTACTGCCACCTAAAAGTCCATTTCCAAGTATATCCCCATCCTACATCCTGCCTACGATCACCACACAAAAGAACAATCCTGTCCAGAAGCCAAACAACCATCACCAGCGCACTTCCTCTGAAAGCTTTCTGATGGATGAACAACCTTCTTGGCTTGATGATCTCCTTAATGAAGATCCTGACACCCCTGTCCGTAGAGGAGCTCATCGCCGTTCATCCAGTGATTCTTTTGCTTATTTGGACGCTGCTGCCTCTAATCTTTCAAACTTGGATTACACGTTTCAAAGCTCTTGGGGACTCAATAGAGAATTTGATCACCCCAGAGATGGTTGGCACCCTGCTCCTTTTTATGCGGTTTCTAATTCCTCAACCAAACACAGGAATCGGGCAAGGGAGGCATCTCCTGCAAATCAACATGGAGTCCCTTCTCCTAGAGAAACTAATGTTGGTGTTGAACCAGAGAGGGCCCAATCCTCATCAAGCAGTGAGAAGTGGGACACAGTTGAATCCATAAGCTCTGCTGAAAAGAAGGACCCCAAAGGTTCTGCCTCAGAAACAGACACAAAACGGGCAAAGCAGTATGTCTAATCCCCAATTCTCTTGTTAAGTTTCATCACAAGATATCCTAATGAAACTCAACTCTTGTATCAATCATGCTTCTATATCTATTGTGAGTCTTCATACTTGATAGTGGCATAGTGCATGGCAAGAAAACAAGGTGTGGGCATTTCCGATTTGGGTTGATTTGGTTTAAACTGGGTTGGTAAATGATTGACTCTTAAAACTAAACCTTGGTCGGTTTTGGTTTTGGTTTAAATATGGGGGTTGGTTTTTTATTGTGTTATTTTGTGTGGCTGGGATTTAATTGGTTTCTATTTGGTTTGGATTATTACAGTTTGAAAGAGTTGCCAAATTCAAATGGAATTACATATTGATTGGTTTGGGTTCAGTTTGAATCTTGGGGCATGACTTTCTTTGAACTACTTATGGTTCAGTTTGGGTTCAGCTCAAATATTGGGACTGGGTTTCATTATTGGGATTTATGGTTTTTTTGTGTGGTTAGTTTTAGTTGGTTTGGATTATTACGGTTTGCAAAAAAAAATTTGCCAAACTAAAATGAAATTACATATAGTTCGGTTTGGTACAGCCTAATTTGATCTGGTTCTGTTTGGAAACTCGGCCCTCTCAAAAATTATTGCATTACTTGGATGTGTCATCTTACATTGTAATAATGGTAAATCATGAGGTTCTTGCAGAAAAGAAGAAATTATGATAGTGTAATGATTCAAAGGAGAAAGCTTCTTTGCATCCAAACTGACTTAAGAAATGTTACATTTGGCAGGCAATTTGCTCAACGTTCACGAGTGAGGAAGCTTCAATACATAGCTGAGCTGGAAAGAAATGTCCAAGCTTTACAGGCATGTATCCACTATCCATACAGTTGCAGTAGAAGACATAAATATTCTGTTGATATTTCTAATGGCATCTTCTTTGATTACACAGGCTGAAGGTTCTGAAGCTTCTGCCGAGCTTGAATTCCTCAATCAGCAAAATCTTATAATGAACATGGAGAATAAAGCTCTAAAGCAACGTCTAGACAGTTTAGCTCAAGAGCAACTAATCAAACACTGTGAGTTACTCTTACTTCCAATCATCTTTTTCCTTATTTAATGACTGTAAACTCGCGCTCCTTATTCTACAAAGTTGAGCATAGAGCTTTGTCTTGCATTCAGTATTAGTCTATATGCTCCAAATTAGCCATCTCACTCAGATTATGACTGAGGGTACACTAAATTCTTATACATAGGTTTGAAATTAGTATTAGTAAATAAAGTTTACATAATCGAAAAGTACTAATAGTTCTATTGAATCATGAAAAATGTATTTATCATCATCATCATCATTACCTCAGTGCCGCAAAGACTCCCACCTACGGTAGGGTAAAGGGGGGTCGGATGTACGCGGTCTTACCCTTGTACTAAAGCAATGAGAGACTATTACCGGATGACCCAAAGTGAAAATCGCATCCAAAATTGCATGGACCGAGTAGTGCTTCATAACAAAGAAGCGCGCATATAGTTTAGTGAGAGTCTATCTGCTCCAAATTAGCCATCTCACTCAGATTATGACTGAGGGTACACTAAATTCTTATACATAGGTTTGAAATTAGTATTAGTAAATAAAGTTTACATAATCAAAAAGTACTAATAGTTCTATTGAATCAAGAAAAATGTATTTATCATCATCATCATCATTCAGTGCCGCAAAGGCTCCCACCTACGGTAGGGTAGGGGGGGTCGGATGTACGCGGTCTTACCCCTTGTACTAAAGCACTTAGAGACTATTACCGGATGACCCAAAGTGAAAATCACATCCAAAATTGCATGGACTGAGTATATAGTTTAGTGAGTCATTTTGCTTTATTCCATCATATTCTCAAGCCAAAAAACAGTGAATCTTTGGCTCCATTGCAAATGATGGAAAATTGAATTTATATGACCAAAAAAATTGTACATAAAATTGGAAATGTAAAGTGCTGTATTGACGGATGTATAGTGAATCAGACGTAATTAGGAATAAAGGGAGTATTATATAATTCAAGACGTCACCATGTCAGTCATTAATATTATTATGTCATCACATACGAAGTTGGCGCCGCTGAATCTGCTAATTTATCTAAAGTAATTATTTGAAATATTCTTTCAAATAAGTTAAAGAAAACTAAAACTTAAAACGAATGTTGAGGTGCAATACTTGATAATTTTATTCATAAAAAATGTAAATTATGCACTACTTTTTCATTATTTGAGATTAACTCAGCATGTGAAATATGTTAATGTTCGGTGAAAATGTACCTCATGAACCAGGTGAAAAATGCCTACCAAACATGTACTTAGTTTTAGAAAGTAATTAAGTTTGAGCCATATTTATCAAGTCCTTTGAATAATGAAGTTAATGTGAATGGCATGTGCAGTTGAGCATGAAGTACTGGAGAGAGAAAGAGGAAGACTTCGTTCCTTGTATCAGCAGCAACAACAAACACAAACAAATCAACAGCTGCCACCTTCTGGCCACCGGCGCACTACAAGCAGGGATCTTATTGAGCAACAGTTTTCGAACCTTTCTTTGAAAAACAAGGAAGCCGCTTCTTCTGATCATGAACCTCTCTCTGGCCAACTCAATGTCTGACCCTGCATTTTGCTACAACCACCTTTAGAACATCTGCTGACCTTTCTTCAGCCGATATGGCTTGAAACTTATAATATCTGTTGTGTCATTATTTAAGTAATTTTTTTATACCTTCAGGGCCTTCGCTTAATGTGCACCTGGCTGGTGATTGGTGGTGCCAGGGAATCTTGTTTTCTGGCAGTTGCTTGCCTGGGGTGATTGTTTCAACCTTTGATTCTTCTTTCTTTTCTTCTTCTTTTTCCTCTTCGTCTTCTTCCATTCTTCTTCCATTTGTGTATGTTGATTAAGAACTGTGTTTCCTTTGACCCACTTCACTTGTGACCAATGTGGCTCACAAAGCTCTTGAAAGAGTGTATAATGATTATTGTAATGTTCTGTTTTGTGTCTAGTTTTCTACTCAGTTGTGCAATACAGAAAATATAGTTTCTCCATATTTAATGCCTAAACTTCGTCTTTAACCTAATCCTAATAGGTCAGGAGTTAGGATAGGACTGATAAGGTCTGCTTGGCATGCGGAGTTAGAAAAGCTTTCAGCTAGCTGAAAGTTACATAATAGGCTCAACTTAAAGTTAATAAAGTCAGTAGCTAGGAACTAAATTCTTTGATTGGTATAATTAGTGTTGAGTTGTGGATTTGTGTAAAAAGAACAAAATGGGGCATCCTCAATTAAAGGCACCCATAGCCCTAAATCCCAATACTGTTAGTAGGTAGTTGAGTGATTTATTATGCTGGAAATCTAACAAAAAAGTATCCAAAAGGAATGGAATATGAACTTGAACCGCTTCATCTTGAACTGCCTATTCGGTTACCCCAACTCGGAATAACATCTAGATGATGTACATTTGATCTTTAAAAAATATCTATAGGTAAGTAATGATAGATTAATTTAAAACAAAAAGTTTCTTTTGTAATTATAGACCTTAGTGGACATTTGATCAACTATTTTTATTAAAGCCAAACTAAAAGCTTATTTGGACCTCAACACAGAGAGTTCCACAAAAGGTGAGTATTAAGGCAACAGTAGAAAGCCGCTGTAGAACATAAACTATGCACTTCACAATCATTATAGTTCATAATTATAACAACATGTTTAGTAGTACAACTTTGAGTTAACTTGCTCCCCTATATTATCATCATAAAATACCATGAAAAAAAGAATCTAATGAATGTTTGAATGTAGAAATGTATAAGTTCTAACTTCTAAACAATAATAAGTAGAAATAACAACAGCTGCAATCGCAGCAGGAAGGAATGAGGCAGTGCAGCAGAATTGGGTAGTCGTGGATAATCATCAGGTTGTGGCAATACACATTCTTCGCCGTTAAACGTAACCTTTCTGGGAAAAGCCCACCCTTCCCTAAAAGTGAACATCGCTGGATCTTTATTCAGTAACAACTCTGTTTGCACGTTACCACTCTCTCCCGCTTGAAGCAACATATCATTGTAATACTTAATTCCATAAAACATTCCAGTGTCATCTGCAGCATGCCCATTCATCATCATATTGGTTAGGGAAAATTCAATAAATAGGATCATCAACGCGTTTTAGTCAAAATATGACTCATTCTCTCTTAAAAGAATAACTCTTAACTACTTATATTCTTTACAAGATTGATTTTTTCCTATTTCAGCACAAAACAAGGATACTCCTATTGTGCAGTTGATTAATGTTTTGCTCCAATTTGTGGTAATTTCTTTATTGATAAAAATAGTGGTGAACAGTCTCTTTGTGCTTTAGTATAAGGGTAAGACTGCGTACATACGATCCCCCTTACCCACAGTAGCTGGGAGACTTTGCGGCACTGGGGTAATGATAATGATAATATAAATAGTGGTGAACAATGAAACTCTTTTCTTACTTATATCGCCATACTGATTGAGTGGACTGTAGTTGAAGCTGAAAACTTGTGTAATGTTTCTCATGTTTGGATGAAGAACCACCAAATTCCAGCCGCTAAAGTTCCTCACAAAATTGTAATTAGTGATTGTGATCTTCACTCTCCAGTATTTTGTGTAGCTTTGCTTCACATGCCAGTGCACCCTTATTGGGCACATGTGTTGGGTGCACCTAACCACTGGTTCCAGTGCCTCATCATGCTCCAACTGGAAGACCGGTGGCAGTTCCCCATCTCTACATGTCAGAAAAAGACCACATAAGCATGTCATTGAGATTAGTGCTCAACAAAAAACTGATAAACTGACCTAAACCAAACCTGAAATCGAAAAATGACCAAGCTATAGGTAGGTGGTTCAGTTTACAGTGTCAGGTTTGTGCTTTAAAAACCGACTAAAACCAAACCTAGCATGGCAAAACCGAACCTAACTGACCAGAACTTACTTATGTTAGTTCATTTGGTTTCAAATTTCTTAAAACCAATCTGACCAAACCGGAAGCGATAACTGAATTGTGGATGACCCCTAGTTGAGATATATTAATACGAAGTATAATGTAGCCCGAATATCAACTTAAACTTTTGACCTAGATGACCTGAAACTGAAGGTGTGAAGTGATCCGCCTAAACTAAAACATTAAGCCGATAGTTGGACTTTACAGTTATTCTTTAAATTAATATATCTCAGGTGAGTGAGCAAAGATTCTTTAATGAGCCAAAAACTAAGTGCAAAAACATTCTTTTGACATTTTGGGTGGCAAGAAGGTAAGAACCAAAGAGAAGTGATAATCCGTCTCAACTAACTAAACTGTGAAGCTGACGGTTGGACTTCGCATATAAATATTTAAATGATTTTATCTCAGCATGATCCTTCTGATGCATAGAGCCATAGAGGGGGATTGGGAGATGGAAGTTGATTTACTTCAAGCATTGCGCTGATCTGGGCAGTCCTTGACAGCCACAAGAACATGTTGGGCAGGAAACAATGGTTTTGTTGTAGAATGCTGACAAAGAAACACAGCAGGTTGGAGAGGATTGAGCCCTAAACTGGGAGTAAGAGCATGTTATGTTCCATGTTCCTGCAATACACATCCACTTAAACAATAAATATATTGCAAGTTATACAAGCAAACCATTCAAGATTAATTATAATTTGTGCAAGAAAAGGGCAAACCGAATCGATCAGTGTTGAAACAACAAAAACTGACCAAACCGTATGCAATTTGCTTTACGATTGAAGATTTATGCTTCAACAACACACCGAAACACACCAAAAATGGAAGAGACCAACAGAAACCGACTGAAAATATCCTTAAAAAGCCGACTGAAGTTACTCTGTTCAACTAAGAGTTCACATTTCGCAAAACATAACCAACCAAATTGAAAACCAACAAAACGGAAACGGAAAACATCCCCAATTGTAATGCACCTAAAAAGAAAAGAAAAGAGCAGATTACTCATTCCTCTCCATCCAAAATCCACTTTTGACATGCAAGGATACTTATGTTATTACTAGTGTTTGCATAACTTCATTAGTATGATGCCTTTTCATGCTGGTTTGATCCAAAACGGACAATATCATACTAATGCTTAATGCCCAAAACACTGAATTAAGTGAAATGTACGGTCCTAGTTTAATAGACATATGCATGCTTACTTACCAACAGCTTGTGTCCTTCTCCGGCCTTCATCCTCAACAAACTTGCTAGGTGGCACCTCAAACGGTTCTCCGCACGTGTAGCCAGGGATCCCAAGAGAGAAATTTCCCGGCATCGAGCCAGCTTTATTAGAAGCTCCGCGACCAACGGTCATCTGAAAGGAAGATCCATATCTTTCATGATCTTGAGTCATTGAAGAAAGGACACCCCTCTTACAACAATTCAAGAACTGCTTGTTATAACGGGCTCCCGGGAGAAGGTCAATGATAACAGGCGCCTTCTCGCAACAATGTGGGCGGTTCCCTGACTTAAATGCAGAGCAGTTTCCCTGCTCTGTAGCCTCGGCTCCCCACATTTCCCAGATCACCTCATCGCTTGCCCAACTCCAGCTTAGCTTCCAACCAGGATAATCAATGTGGCGGAACAGTTGGTAGTTTAGCAGCGATACTACCACCTACAAAACCAGGTCTCCATTATTCATTCATCCTGAAAGGTCATACCAGAGTAATTCATTTTATATTATGCTGATTTGGGATAGCTTACCAAAAAAGTTGTTCCTCTTATGCGTATAAAATCACCAGCTTAACTGATTTTGATACTATTAAAAGTTTAAAACTTTAGATTCATCTATGTAAGTTCAAGAAAGAAAATATGCATAATTCATTCGTCTCCTATTATTCTACAAGTGAGTACTAGAATATTTTTAAGCCTACATAAACTGCAGAAAGATTTATCATTTTCTAAAGTCTAAACTGTTCTGTGATTATCCATCCCTACACATATCATAATCCATTTGAAACACATATATAATGACCCCATAAAAGTGATTACAGAATGATTAGAGAAAGCAATAATTAAGCACAAGTGATGGGATGAGAAGAAGAAACATACGACTTGGGTATCGTCGTTTTCTTGAATGATGTCCCATTTGACGGTTATGTTCCCATTGGGATCCAGAGGGTCGTATCCATCTGCATTATCACCACTAAAGAAATTCACCATGAATGGGTTTTGTCTCTAATCACAATTAGAAAGAAACTGAAGCGTTAATGGTGTAATTATGATTCTTTAAGAAACGTTTGCTTACAGTAAACAGACGAGAGAGAAGATTAAAATCAAGAAGAAACCACCTCTTGAGCTTCGATGGGGTAACAAGACTGGGTTTAATTCCATTTTCTCATATAACTAATCCACTGTTAAATTCTTGGACTCAGAAAAAGGCTGGCAACCACAGCATGGATAAAGGGAGATTAGTGAGGAAGACAAGAGTTAATCAGCTGCTCGTAAAAGAGAGTGGTTAATTGTACTCCTTATTTATTCATTTATTTAATACGAAGTAATAATAATGGTCATGGATGTTCCAAGAGAATTTTGTTTCTTCTAGGCATCACGTTAATGAGTCTGTAATTGGTAAGTTGGATAGTAGGAAAATTTTAAATACTTTCTATACTGATTTTCTGCGTTCTTTATATTGGTTGACCGAAACTTATCGAGATATTACCCGAAAAATAGGATTAAAACAGTTTTAAAATTCCAAAATAAGACTGCCATATTTTTATTCCCAAAATAAAACTAATTATTGTCATGTTTTAGCAGTAACGGACTTCAAACATGGTAGTATTTTCTAAACATTGCAGTAATTAGTCCTATTTTGGGAATAAAAAATATGACAATCCTATTTTGGAATTTTGAAACTGTTTTAGTCCTATTTCGAGAACTCTCCCAAACTTATTCTCTAATTGTGTATTAATATAAGTTTTAATATATAAAATCTATATAGAGTGATTTATAATATACACTACGTATATTTTATTTTTGAAATTTCGACGTCTATAACGAGAAGTGCCTTCAATTCAACAAAATTTTCATTTTAACATATTTAACCAGCTAAATATGGACTATTTTTTTCCCCATAAAAAAGTGACTGATAAAATTGAATATTGGTAAATGACTATCGAATACGTAGCGGAATATTTTCAAAATAGGAGTAAAAATATTTGAAAAAATCAAAATAAATTTGTCATGTTCTTATTTTCAAAATACAAATAATTCTTATTTAAAGTATTTTTCAAGCTTGACAATAATTACTCATATTTAGTATACATCAGCGTTTTTAGTACGTACTATTTAGGCCAATTTCCCAATACTTAGTAGCACCTTACCTATTTCGTTGCCTCTTAATTGCATAAATGTCGTTTAACAAAGTTCGTTAAATACGTGTCATTTACGAATATTAATATAGAATTAGTGTCTAATTCTTTGCAATTATTATTTTCATGTATTATAGTATCTTATTTATCTATATTTATAAATAAATTTCTTAAACAATACTATTATATACTATCATATAAATAAACTTAACAAGCTAGGATGACCGAAATAGATTTCGCAATTGATTTTCCTTCGAAAAGATTTCTCAAACAAGTACCTCTATTTAATTTAAATACTTCAAAGCTAAAACTTATGACAGGGTGATTTCTTTAAACAGAACATGACAAGCAGACAAGGTGTTAAAACCAGTTTCCACTTATTCCATCACATTTCAATTAATTAATCCAAAAATTAATCTTTAACCAAACCCTATCACTTACAGTTCAAAATTTGCTTTTTTTTTTTCCTTTTTAAAACGATCAACGTTTTTCCAAAAAAAAACGATCAACGTTTACTTATTATCATTTTCTCAATTATTTCTGTAACAAAACATTTTTAAAGGATCTATATCAAATCATTAAAAAAACAATTTCATAAAAAACACGAACTGGGAAACAACAGAAAATAGAATATTATGGGGAAAGGTTGTTTTGGAACGACGGGATTCAAAAATCATGCATTTGGATCCGTACAGAATGGCATTGCCGTTTGGTGCTTTGACTCCATAGTCCATAGACATGCTTCCCATATAGCCATAATAATCTATAAATGGGCACCTGCGAGGGATTGACACAAGGATTAGGGTTCGGGTTCAAATTCCGTAACTGTGATGATAGGTTACTATGCTAAAAAAATGCATATGACCTCTGCAATTATCGGTGACGGGGTCTCACTCTCGGGTTCGAATTCCGTCAACTGCGATGAGATGTTACTATGCTAATTTACATACTCCCAACATACCGTCCGGTCGGTGTTGGGGGCTCAGAGATGAGGTGTCATTTTTCTTTCTCTCTCATAAATAGGTTTTTTTCATTCATTTTAATTCTCTCTCTTTAGTTCAATATCATATTTACTCTATTAGAATATAAACGATCATTATATATATAATGATTTGAGCAAGTATTAGTATATTTCTGTATCTTGATCTTAAGTCTTTCTTATCTTTTTCTTTTTCATTCAACCATATTGGACGTATTTATGAGGCTCAAAATCATTTGCAATTTGCAAATTCTTGACAAAACAAATTAAAACAATATTTGACATGTAGAAAAGTATTACCAAGCACAGAATACTTAGAATGGGACAGATACAATTACATCATAGGCCAGACTGGAGTAATTATGTTGATGCATGGCTGGATTACTCAAACTAACTAAACATTACTTGATAAGTGTTTTTAAACATGTTAGCTAAATCGGTAAAGAAACTTTATATTATGGCCTTATGCGCACCAAATCCGTGAAGAGAGACCGTTGCCTAAAACCCGCAAATTATATCATGCAACCGGCGCACCATGAGGATGGTGCGCCCGGTTGCAAAACGACGCAACTTGCCACCCTCCCCTTTTTTTGCTTTTGTTTTTAAAAAATGATGATAACTTTTTTATTTTTGATCCGATTTTTATAAAATTTATATCAACATTTTTAATTTTTCATGATCTTTCAAATGAGACTAATATTGCTTATGTAATTTTAAGAAATTATTGAACTATTATATTAATGAGTATTGGATTATAAGGAAAATCGAATCTGTTTGGGAGATGATAGGTTTGTGAAATAGAAGATCGAATCTGTTTGGGAGTGGATCAGTGGCCTCAGTTACATTTGATAATACATTGAGTTACATCTTTTTATGAGCGAGTTACATCTTTTTATAAGCAAGTTACATCTTTTTATAAGCAAGTTACATCTTTTTAAAAGCGAGTTACATATATATAAACACGAGTTGCATTTGACATGCATGAACGCGACTTACATATATTTACACGTAAAGTTACATATTTTTACACGTAAAGTTACATATTTATACACGCGAGTTACATGTTTATACACACGAGTTGCATTTGACCTGTCTGAACGCGAGTTACATATTTTTTTACGTAAAGTTACATATTGTTACACGTAGAGATACATATTTATACACACGAGTTGCATTTGGCCTGACTGAACGTGAGTTACATATTTTAACACGTAAAGTTACATATTTTACACGCAAATGTTAATATGTTAAAATTACATAGGCAATATTGGTCTCATTTGAAAGATCATGAAAAATAAAAAATGTTGATATAAATTTTATAAAAATCGGATCAAAAATAAAAAAGTTATTACTATTTTTTAAAAACAAAAGGGAAAAAAAAAATATAAATACGTACCGGTATACGGTGCTCACCGTATACCGGTCGTACGGTATAGGCACTCACTAAAACCCATTAATTTCATCACCATTTTTTTGGGTTTAATGCACCAAACCCCCTCGTGATATAGAAATTCAACGCATTAGCTCCCTGTGATTTGAAAAATGCGTCAAACCCACCTGTGTTTTAATTAATCATGCACAAAACCCCTTTTATGACTAAATTTAATGATTTTGAGATCACTTTTCCTAATATCCTGATTGAATATGCAAGTAAATATGTCAAAATCTCTAAATCATACAAAAATGTTAATCATTTTTCTTATATTTGATAATTGAATTTGTTCATAGAAGGGATTTTGCGTATAATTAATTAAAACACAAGGGAGTTTGACGCATTTTTTAAATCACAGGAGCTAATGCGCCGAATTTCAATATCACAAATGCAATATTATTAGAGTTTGTATAGGATACATCCTGCTGTACGGGTGGGAACTGTACAACCAGATATTTTTGTAATTTTTTGTAACTTTTGGCCCATTTAATTGTTCTATTAATCAGCCTTTATTTAATCTCCTTGTCGTGTGCCTGCTACGTTGCCTATGTGGCTATGTAATTCACCAAACGTTACCCATGTTTCACCATGCTTTCTCTTCATGTTCTTTTTTTTTTTTTTGCTTATTTTTACGTTTATAATTCTTAATTTATATCAAAATTGAATCTTACAAATTTTGAATAAATTATTTAATAAATTATCAATAAATATATCTATAAGAATTATGACAATTTTATAATAAGTTTTGTAATGTTACATCAATGCAGTGTTATGTTAAACATTATCTTCATATTAGTATATAAGAAACCCGAAATAGGACTAAAAGAGTTTGAAAATTCCAAAATAGGACTGCTATGTTTTTATTCCTAGAATAAGACTAATTACTGTCATGTTTTGGGAGTACCAGACTTCAAACATGGCATTATTTTCTAAACATGACATAGTTAGTCCTATTTTGGGAACAAAAAACATGACAGTCATATTTTGGAATTTTGAAACTGTTTTAGTCCTATTTTGGGAACTTTCCCATTCATTCTATCGAGCATTATGAGCCTAACAATGAGCATCACGACCTCTGCTTCATATTTTCTAATTCACTTTCTTTTTCTTATTTTTTCATTTATAAAAATTTATATCTATAATCATTTTCTATGAACTTCAATATGCAAATCTAATGTAATATTGTATTTTTGAAATATGCATTGAAATGATATTTAAAAAATGAGCATATCATGAGTATCAATTGAGCATATGTAACTTACAAAATGAGCATTGATATGAAAATCATAAGTTCTTTTTAGTTGAGCATCAAGACATTTTGATTGAACATCAAATCTCATCTATTGAGTATTAGAACATTCAATGAATATCCTGGTCTGTGCTCCTGTATCTATAATCAACCTCCATGTGAATCTAATGTAATATATATTTTAGAAATATGCATTGATATGACATTTTAAAATGGGCATAACATCAGTATCAAATGAGCATACTGCATACATAACTTACAAAGTGAGCGTTGATATGAAAATCGTAAACTTGGTTATTTGAACATCAAGATATTTTTATTGAGCATCAAACTTCCTCTATTAAGTATTAGAAGCATGCAATTGAATATCACGATCTTTGACCTCGTGTATGTAATCAACTCTTATGCGATTGTAATGTAATATGATATTTTTGAAATATGCATTGGTTGGACATTTTAAAATGAACATAAAAGCATTACCAAATGAGCATAC